CCTGGCTTGTATCAGAAATAGCATTGCTAGCAGGAGCAGGGAGGAAATTGACCCTCTGTACTCAGCACTGCTGAGGCTGCACCTCAGTTACTGTGTTCAGTTTTGGGCCTCTTACTGCAAGAAAGACATTGAGGCCCTGAACCATGTCCAGAGAAGGGCAACAAAGCTGGTGAGGGGTCTGGAGCACAGGACTTTGGAGGAGTGGCTGAGGGAGCTGAGATTGTTTAGTCTGCAGAAGAGGAGGCTCAGGAAAGACCTTATCACTCTCTACAACCACCTGAAGGGCTTGTAGTGAGCTGGCGGTCGGCCTTTTCGCTCGTGTAACTGGTGACTGGATTAGAGGGAAGAGATTGTCATATTGCTGGAAGGCCTATCCGATTGAGATAAGACCTCTGGAGAAGATTTGCCTATCCTCCTCATTGACAGCCAGTTCCTCCTGAAGGACCCCATACCAGTTCTGCAAGGTGTTGTCTCCACTTCCCCCCACTGCAAGGTTCTGTCACTCTGCAGCCAGTGAACTGGACACCTTCATGTTTGTGCAAAGCCTCTCCTGGGGAACATACAATTTTTCTAACAGTCTTTGTACAGGTAAAAACCATGGCAGGATCTCTACAAGCTACTGACACCTTACAAATCATACGTATGGTAGGGTGAGTTAGGATGGGTGCCCTTGACTTAAACCACATCCAGCGATCGGACTCACCATGTGCATTGGCAGAGGCTCAACAATCTGCTGTACAGACTGCAGCCAGCAAGGTGCGCACACCAACACCGTTTGCTCACCCTGTGCGCTCTGTGGGTGGCAGCTAGCTGCTGCCCTCCCGGAGGCTACTTATGGCCAGGTAGCCTGCTCCAGGGTGGGCAGTGTCAGCTGCGCCCTTGCGAGCTTGGCAGCCTGACCACAAGCTGGCAGCCCCCTGGCACAGGCAAAGCACTTTTGCTGGCTGGTTTCAAGAAGCCTCCAGAGGAGCATTTCATCGTCCCTTTTTGCTTCAGATCCCTTCCCCAGCGCAGTCTTACATGCTCTGAAGCTGTTCATTGCAGAAAGAGCTTGCTCTTATTGCTAAAAGAAATAAGGATAACAATTCTCTGAAGGGTAGCGAGACTTTTATTAAATTATCTTTTTAAAAATCTGAAAGATCTCAGTCTGAAATGGTATGATGCAAACGATGATCTTAGGGCTGAGATTCAGTTCTCGCTTGGTATGTTAACAATAAATCCATAACAATGACAGCAGTGTTTAGGTGCTGGCAGGTTTCAGTACTGCTGTCTCCTTTTCTGCAGGCTTGAAGCTGGTCCTGGTGTTGGTCCTGCAGCTTCTCCAGCTTCCATCTAGACTCTGGGAAGTGCTGGGGAGGCAATGCAATACTCAGAAGACCACTTGGTCTTGCTCTTCCACCAGCATTTCCCCTCCTCTGTTGGAAGGATGTCCTCATGCTCGTTTGTCCCTTTCACTGGTGGCAGCGTGCAGGAAGAGCTGTCAGGTGGTTGCTCTTCAGTTCCGCTGCCTTACTTGTAGCAATCGTTGTTAGTCTTGGATCGTTTTAGGGACACCAGGAGCTGTTGGTACAGCCTTTCCATAGCGAGCAAGTCCGATTTCTCTGTGCTCCTCTTCTCACGGAAGCCAGAGTTGAAAGGCTGGCAGGTTTCAGTTTTGCCAACTGCTTTTCTCTCCAGGTTCAGAGCTGGTCCTCGGGATGGTCTTGCTGCTGCTCCTGCTTTGTTGTGCGCTTTGGGAAGTGCTGGGGAGAGCATACGCCAAAAACGCCTCTTGGTCTCGTAGTCCCGCCAGCGCTTTCTCTCCTCTGTTTGAACGAGGCCCACCTGGAAGACCTTCCCTTTCACTGGTGGCTTTGTGAAGTTGGAGATCTCAGGTGGCAGGTCTTCAACTCCACCGCCTAGCCTAGGACGCTGACTGAGCGTCCCGGGGGTCCCGCGTGCCACCAGAATCTGCGGGCGCTGGTCCTGTCTGGGAAGCCTGCCGGGTTTCCCCGCAGAGCTCGTGGTACCAGTGGCAGAGTCCGTGTGCAGAGAGGGGCACCGACTGCGCAGCAAGAAAGGCCGGATCTTTCCTGTCTGGATGAGATGGGGCAGGATGGGACTGCCCTGCCGTGGCCATGCTTGCTGCTGGGAGCAACGTGGCCTGCACAGGGGGCTCCTGTGCCTGCCTGCCTGCCTCTCAGCACCTGTAAAACAGGGAGCGGGCATGAGCCACAGTAGGGTAGGGGGCACCAGGGATCTTCCAGGCCCACCCGGCCTGGCTGCTACATGGCAGAGGCTGGTACGAAGCTTGGCTTCTCCCAGGGGGCTGGCCCTGCCTGGGAACGTGCCAGGCTGACCCTCAGGGGACTCACCTGACTTCGATGCCACCACTTGCAGCCACCATGTCCACCATTGCTGGCGCCGGTCAGAACCCTACGGGCACATGAACGTGGCACAGTGAAAGGACTTGCGGAGCAGCCCTCACCCCCACCCCAAAGCCCTCAGTCACCTAGCCTCAAGTGACTCCCATCCTCAAATTTCCCTACCTGTCGGCGCCAGGAAACGGTGAGCAGAGACACCCCAGCCACCAGGAGCAGGAGGCTGAGGATAAGGAGAACGCTGTCGACAACCATCGCTCAAAGCTGGTCACGACCGCACTGGCAGAAGCAAAGTGCTGACAGCTGGATGACATGGGCAGAGCCATGAGATCATAATCCAGTGGGTGGGGATAACTCTGTGAGGTCACAGCCCACATGGAAGTAGAGCCCCCAGCATGGGGATGGGGGGAGTTATGGGCATAACTTGAGTATAATAAAAAATACATAAAATTGGAGCTTTGACAACAAGTGAACACATGTCCCAGTTTGGGGAGCATCCTTGAGATGCGCTGCTGCCATCCTTGCTTCAAACACCTGAGTTAGGCTCAAGTTAGAATGGGAAAGCGGTTGGAGTTTGCTTTTAGTTCTCACCATCCCAGTTCTTTTCAATGGGTAATTAAATGAATCCTCTTCAAACTGAAACTGCTTTGTGCGGAGTTGTACCTGGTGTGTGACCTCCCCCTCCTTATCTGAGTTGTTCCATCATATCGTTCACCCCACCACTGTGAGCAAGGTAAGCAAGAGAGCAGATGGGGGGCGGGGGCATGGCAGTCAAGGTCAGTGCCCCCACAGCTTCAGGATTCTCATAAGGTAGCATTCCAGGCACTGGTGTAATTGCTTTTGTCTGAGCAATGCAGATCTGGGCTCCTCAGGACAGCCTCCAGCACTACAGACAGAGACAGTGAAGGCATTTAGTAACTCCGCCTTCTCTGTATCTTCTGTTCCCAGGGCACCCACCTCATTCATCAGTGGGCCTACACTGCCCCTGCTGTTAGTTTTGTCTGCAGTGTACTTGAAGAAGCCCTTTCTGTTGTCCTTGCCTGCTCTTGCCAGGTTAAACTCTAAGGAGGCCTTAGCTTTCCTATTGCCTCCCTTCGTCCTCTGACAACAGTCTTATATTCCTCCCAGGTGGCCAGCCCTCCTTCCGTGATCTGTAGACTCTCCTCTTCGACTTGAGTTAGCCAAGCACTTCCCTCTTTAACCACGCAGGTTTCCTGACTCCCTTGCTTGACCTGCTACCTGTTTGGGATGCTCTGATCATGAGCTTGGAAGCAGCAGCCCTTGAATGCTAACCAACTATCTCGGGCCCCTTTACCTTCAAGTACCCTGTCCCATGGGATGTCCCAAGTACCCTGTCCCCAGGTCACCTCCCAGGTGACCTGCACTCCTCTCATTATCTGTAGATTCTTATCTTCCACTTATTGCATTCTTGCTGCAATAAATCAAATGTTAGTTACAATTAATCGTGCTGACCATCTGGTTCACTTTGCCAGTGCTTTGGTATCCCAGGCAATCATGCATGCTCTTTAAAATACTGATAAAATCATAACTTTTCCCCACTTTGGTACCTGGATGTCCTGGAAGAGTCGCCATTATAGTGCATCAGCCTTGTAACTCTCACTTTCTGGTCATGAAATATGTGCTTTATTCTGTTTTCATGAATCACTGTAGTCTCTTGTCTTTGAGCCGCTTTCTTATCTCCTCCATTATCTGCACAGATACATGCAGTTTATTCTTGTAGCCTTTTCTGGCCTTTATTCTAATTGGATTTCATTTATCATAAGTTACCCAGATTGTGCAGAATATTACTGCATTTATGTTCAGATCTCAGTAACTGGTGACAGAATGACTAGGAAATATCAATCTAATGTAACTTTTATTCCAACTATTTATAGTAATCACATTAATTTCTTATTACTGCTCCGAAGTGAAAATGCTCAGTTTCAGGATTGACTGTGGTATATTTATTGCAGGAGAAATAAATAATTCTTCTGGTACTAATTCTAAAAATATAATTAGTTGGTGAGTCAGAGCAGAATTTGATTTTCCTAAATGTTAGGGATAGAAGACTGGGATTATCGTGATCACTTTGTCTGATCTGTGCCTACACTGTGCCTTAAGGCTCTGCCTGATAATTCTTGTGTCATTTTGTGATTAAGCTAGAATATTACTTGACAAGACTGAATAAAGGGCCTGAACCACATTCTTGCAGTTTGTTGAATGTTATTTCACACAACAAAAGTAATAGATAAGCCCCACAGACTGCATTCGGTGATTAATCATTTTCATTTAAAAATTTAAGGCCATTAACATTTATTAATGGGCTAATTTCTATTAATTCAGTGCACATTTTTAGAGCATTGTAAATAACTGTGGACCTCCATAAATATGTGCGCGCATGTGGTTCTCCCTCTGTCCCTCTCCACTCCTCCTTTATATTTATTTAAGGCAGTGAAACCTATTTCTATTTATGGGAATCCAAATATTACCAAGAACCTGTTTCAGCCATGTGCAGTGTAGAAACACAGAAGGAAGCAGCTACGTTTAAGTGAAAAGACAGAAACTAAACCAATTCCACACTCCAATAAAAGCAGTCAGGAAAGATGAAACTGAAAAAAAAATAAAAATGAATACCACATATAGCAGAAGATTAATACTTTATTGATTGGGAAACAGATTGCTATGCACCTGTTGATTTTATGCCACTGCTATACAACTCTGCCCTACCTATGCTTACAAGTACTTTTTTTCTATTTTTTTCTACCTGAAGCAGCATCTACATAATTCAGTATGAATAAAGCACTCTCAAGTCAGCCAAATAACTGTAAGCATTCAACATCAGAGTCGAGAGAATGATTTTCAGACAGAGAATAATGAGATGAGGAATAAAGCACTTCTAATAGGCTCAGAACCATGGTACCATACACCACGGCCTGGGAGAGGTACTGCAGCATGAGTCAGGCCATTGTAACATACAGTGTGCATATAGCTTGAGCTGAGGAAAGAGAAACTAATGCTTTGTACTACATGTGTGCACTGCCTACCTTGAGATGGCAATGTTACAAATTCTTGACATAATATTGGCAAATGCATGTTGGCACATGGCAGAATGAATGGGTATTGGCTCTGAACAGCTGATAGCCTGCTACAGACAGCAGACATTTACAAGAAAAGGAGTAGACTGTGAATAAAAGACTGCAGTGCAGAAATGGTAAAGCCATTGTCAGTATTTTAATTGCTGGCAAATGACTGTTGAAGGGAGGAAAAATGTAAGTTTAAAGGAACAACAGTGTGTTGGCTCTTGCCTCAAATAAGAGAAACTATATTTTAAGAGTGCACTTGAAGACCTAGAGAAGATAATGGAGACAGAGTTTTAAATCATTTTTGATACTGGAAACTATACATTACCACTGTCCAACCTCAGGCAATTGGTACCTCTTACAGTAGGTTAAAAAAAAATTAAAAAGGGTTTGTTTGTGTTCTAAAACATTTATGCCTGAAAAATAAAGTGCAATTAACCACTTGTGGGAAAGGACCTATCGTTTAGTTTTTTGGATGAATAAAGTTATTGGAAATTCTATTTTTCTGATGAGAACTCTCAACAATATCAATAAAGAGAGGAAAAAGACCTTTTATCCCTTTCTCTGGCCCTGGAATGGATTTCCCTGACTTGGTGTCTCTTTGTGTACATGTACCTTCTCCTCACTTGCAATGCTAATGCCTCATAAGTAGACATATGTTACATAGATTTTCTATACATCTCCTTGGTTCATGGGAAATGAAAGGTAAAGTTTCTAACAGCAGAGTGCAGTGTGTTACAAAGAGAAACATACTGCAGTTCCATCTGAAATATATACTAATCTTTTCTGCACTGTTTTCTGAGGCAATGTGTGGCTGATTATTTATTTGTTTTTATAACAAGCAGTTCAGAACTGTGATGGAATTAAACTGCTGTTGGAAAGTCACTTGAATTACTAAATAAGCGATACACCTTTTAGATGATTTTCTTACTGCAGAGTAACAAAATACATGGTTATACAGTGAGAATAATGCATCTTCATAGCTCTCCACAGAACTACAAAGAACCACATTCATGGCAAAGGACCACATCCTGCTTGGTGAGGAATCCTTGGCCCACCAGTGAGGCTGAGCATCTTGCACACTTAAAGCATTCTTCATGCCACTGACGCTCTTCAAATGAGACAAATTTGGCACCTCCAAGAGCTGAAAGAGATTATGAGAGGAAGTAAATTCAGCATTTCTGGACGTAGTTCAGAAACATAACTAATTGTTTCCTGAAATGTGATCATGTTGTTGTTCATATAAATGAACCATAGTCTGAAGTGCTGTTTGTTAGCTGAACTAGAAAAAAAAAAAGAACCAACTAAAACACTGTAAGGTAGTGATACAAAACATAAAAGATAATGACAATTAATTTATGTAAAGCTACATGTTACTTGCTTGGTTTCATACCCTGTTATGCATTCTAAACAGAATGGGTTTACCAGAATGTCCCTTCAGGTTTACAAACCTTCCCAAAAACTGTCATGAAAATTATCTGCAATGCAAAGATATACACATTCCTATATGACACTGAAATTTAGCCTTTGCCACTAAGTATCTTAATGTATTTCAGAAATTATCAGATCACTAAATTCCTACGATGAGTATTTGAAATGAAATAAAACAATTGTGCTTTTTTTTTTTTTCTTTTTCTTTTTTTCTTTTTCTTTTTTTCTTTTTTTTTCTTTTTTTTTCTTTTTTTTTTCCCCAGAGGAAGGAGAACAAAATCATCCCTATTTGGTTGGGTATTCATGATTTTCTTTATGCATTTGCATATGCAACATGCACCTGTATCAGTCAGGCAGTACTTTTCAAGATTTGACTTCCCACATAATAGAATCATAATGCAGAACAGCAGCCAATGGTCTCAGATAATTTCAGCTACCATGGACTACTGACCCGTATGTCTAATTACAAATCATTTAGGGACACAGGGATGCATGCAATAAATCTTTGTTGCTTGGCAAGCTCTCCAATATAACAGCTGTGCCTTATCAGCTGGCAGTTAATTCACATTCAATTTTATTACATTTATATTTAAAAACAAATCTAAACCAATTACAGCCATAAGGGAATTGTGTGTATGCATTGTCTCAGGAGGAATCTTTTTTGAAATCAAAAGAATGCATTAGTGGGGATGATTTTGAGTGCAGAAAAGGGTAAATTGAAGAATGTTTGGCATATGAAAGAACTCAGTAGTCAGAGAACACATGATCAGTATTTCTGAGTAAGACATTACATTGCATGGGGTGAGGCCTCTGTAGTACCTGACTCCCTCAGTCTTTAATTATGACGTACTATTTTTTAATGCTGTTCTTTAAACTAAACATCTGATTTCAGAGGAAACTATGACTCCACAGTATCTAGACCTTTCTAAAAGATAGCACTTACCTGTAATAGGTTTCTTGCAAGCAGCACACTTCTTAGCATAAAACTTGCTGAAACAGTCTACACAGTATGGATACTCATCTCTGGAAACAAACCTTTGCCCAGACAGCTGAATTTTACACCCAGCACACACAAAACACTCTCTATGCCAAGGCTGGTCGTGGTAGGCCACTCCCCCAGAAGTTATTACCTAACAAAGTAATGAAAGAAAGGATCATGAAGGATTATCAAGTATTTCATAAGACCTTCCACTTGTTTTTTCTCTTACAATACGCATAAGAGAGACAGTGCGGTCATCTCAATTTGACTCACTGCAGCTGATCTGAACATACCAGTGTACACACTTTATAGTTTATAATATAACAGGTTGTCTAGTGATGAAACTCCGGGTAAAGTCTGAGCATCAGGTGTACTCTTCCTACTCATACAATTCTCAGTGATGGAGAGTAGCTGATAGAACTGATATTGAGACGAGGGTTAATCTCCAACTGGACTTGACATTTTCCTGTCTTGAAACTCAAAGAGTATTTTATGCAGGAGGAAAGAGGCAGTAAAGAAGCAGAAATGAGACTAAAAGGAGGTCTACACTGTCAGAAGAAAAAAGACTAGCATTTGTCAGTGTCATCAAGTTTATAATTCCTTGCAACTCGCTCAAAGCTCTCTATTGGTTATATCTGAAGGGGGAAATTTTCAGCTGCTCTCTGGCTTTTATAAGTGTGATCAAGGGTAGGTTTCACTGAAGTTGTCAGAGATTGTATAAAGGAATTTTTCTAGAAATAAAATGAGAGGTAAGGTGGTATTTCTACTGCTAAGACACATGTATGAGAGTGAATGAATGACTGTAGTTGGAACAGGAGGAGAAAGAGTTGTAAACAATGAAATAAAAATAAAGGCATCACAAAATCTCTCTGGAAAAGCACAATTTCAAGAAAACAAAGAATAATACTGGGTGATGTCAGGCAATAAAAAATGTAAATGGTTACTAATATTAGTATTCTAGTATTGGGCTACTTCTAACTCATATTTGCCTTTCTGTAAAAATCTCAAAATCTCAAATCATCTTTTTCTGGCACAAAATTCAGGATTTCAGTTTGGCAATTCAATCTCTTTGATCTCAGTTCTTGTTTATGGGACAGATACAATTTCATACAGTAAAGTTATTTTAGCTAGCATGCATGTTGTCTGTTTGCATTCCTAGATTTTTTAAGAAGCAAATCCTGATTTCTTTCATGCAAATATTGCTAACCTCAATTTCTCTAATAAACTTGGATAAGAATTACTATATTTGTCATGTGATCATTTAATGCAAATTAATGCCTAAATACAGTAGCATAGGAATATTTAGACACACTTTCTAGAGTTTAACTAACAAAGGGAAAAAAAACAACAAACAAACAACAAAAAGCAAACAATAAACAAACAAGAGGCAGCAAGTTAAAAATTTAAGCAAGTTTGCTTAAATTAAAAACTTTTGTTAGAGGAAGATATTTACAGCTTAACATTATAAAAATTTGGAAATAAGTAATTTAATGAAGAGAAATAAATCTTTTTTTTTTCTTTTCTTTTCTTTTCTTTTTTTTTTTTCCAACCATGGACACTAAAGAATAAACAAAATTCTGTCATAATAAGCAGCTTAAATCAATTCCCTAGAGAATAGAATCAGATTAGTGGGTGTTTTCATCAACTTGAGACAACTTTAAAACACAAGAAATTGAAGGAGAGATGCATTGATATATTTGGAAGAAGAAAGAGAAACTTTGCATTCTAAAATATTGGGAAACTTGACTTGTGTTACCATAACTAAATAGTACTTAAACTGGTTATTGCTTGATACATTTCAAGAGACAAAGAGGTAGGACTGAATGCTTTTCTCAGCTTAGGTGGCTCATTATGCATGCAAATATATCTGACAAATATAAAGAGAGGCATGTTCATTAAGGCAAGGTCAGACATTATTGGGTAAGAAAGGTGTTATACAACTTTCTGTAAAGCATCAACCTTTGTTAAAAATCACAACCTTTAACAAAATAACAAAATAATCCTATTGTATTTGTTTTGGTGAATAAATTTATTGCAAATCTAAACAAGTTTATATCAACCTGTTTATTATTATCAATTATGCACAGGGGGACAGCAAACACTGTCGCAGCCAGCTTTCAGCATCCAATATCAATGCCAGAAGCAGGACTTGACTTGTCCTATCAGCTCACCAAACATTTTGCATGATGCTGCTCTGTCCCCCATGAGCAATATTGCTTCACTAAGGAGCATAGGTATCTTTCTTTGAGATCTGAAGTTAGATGGTGTGACACCCTTGTCGTATTCTGTTTCTCCAGTGTTAATATATCAATATTTATGTATCTTGATATAAGTTTGCTCTCAGGAAAAGAGTTAATGGCTTCTACAGAGGCAGCCATTGCCTAGAAATACAGTAGCACAGAACCAAAAAGTCACTAACTACAGATATATCATTTTTGCTACTTATGCACATCTCTTTTCTGTTGATTACCTAAACTATCGCAAGGACTTGTGTTACAGAGCTATGCAGACACACCACAATTTCTGATGTATTTATCCCTGTAAATACACCCAACATTTCCATGAATAAGGAAAGCTAACTGGTATTTCCATTCTATTGTTAAAGAACTGAAACAGAAAAGCAAGTATTGAAGCTTTCATACTTCATCCATACAACTCAGGAATCAGACAGGGGAGCTTCAGTTCATTACATTCTCCTAGATTCTCTCCTAAATGCCTTGAGAGCTCTATTGATGAAAAAGACTACAGGCTTCTAATTGGAGCATCAACGTTAAATACTTTAAAACAAGTGGTATGAATACCCACTAGACAGACAATACAGCTCCCAGGTGCTCCTGAAAAGGAGCTAAAAGCAATTACAAGTAGTTGTAGTTGATAAGAGGCTCTGTTGATTTCAAGATCATTTTCCCTGCTTTTTCTGTTTGGCTCAGTGTAAAGCACTAAAAATATACAATGTTGACAAAACGGTAAGTAAATGGGTAGAAAGCTATGTTCTTACTCTGTTAAAGCTTGTTAAGCATGCAGTCTGAACTTTCAGTTAGATGTGCAACTTGTCTTCAAGAACTCCCACAGATAACTCCCTGCCCCCTTTTTTTTTCTATCTTCAGCCCTTTTACAGAATATTTGAAAAGAGCTAATGTAAGAATTTACATGTTCTGACGATATTTTGTTTTTTACCCATTGTGTGATGCTGGTCTAGATTTCAGACCTCCAGATGAGAATGGAACTATGAATTTGCAGAGGTTGTTTTAAACCTGCACATTATAGATTGCGGAAAGAGTCTTTGTTGGTATACTTCTGCTGTTGGACAATCTGGTCTTGACCAAAAATAACATGGTAGCACACTGCAATGCTTTCATTTTTCTATTGCAGTTACCTTTTTGCAAGAGTAGCAATGATGAGCAAATTGTTTCTCAAAACAGGGTACGCAGTAATTCTCATTGTCTTTGGTGATCAGTGGTTTTGTTCCCAGTGGTTGCTGGCAATACTGACAAACAAAACAGGATTCATGCCAGGAACTGCCCTTAAATTCCATTTTACGGGAACCTGCAAAAATCAACACAAATTATGCTCCCAGGTACAGTCTTGCCACAAAGGTTTCAAATGTCTCATTTTTCATTTTCTGTCATAGTATTTTATTATCCCCCCATGTTTTCAAGTATGTAGCTAATCTCAAGAACACATCCAGTACTCTATGATCACAAGGCAAAGGACATGCTAACTGGCCTAAAATGTGATTTTTATTCTCTATTTATTTGACTCTTTTAGAGTTACTCCTCGGTTATACACTCCAGTTGATCAGAGTTTCTCTCAGACCACTCAGTGATGATATGATGTTTAGGTACACAGCACTTCTGTAAATTAAATGTGAATTTGCTTGGATCTTTAGTATAAATATTAATGTATTTTATCTTCTTTAAACTAAGTTTCTTTCACTTATAATTGCACTATTTATCTTATCCAGCCTGAGCTGGAATTTTTAAAGTATCTCTATGATAAACTACCATGTCTCTTCTTAAAACTCATCATTTTCATCCTAGTTCAGTGGCTCTTTTTTAAAAAATCATATTCAGCCAGTTGCTTTGATTCAGTGCTAGGACAGATGCAATCCCAAAAGAAAGTCTCTCCATTAAATGTCTACTAGAGAAGCTGTTAAATTGTGTGCAGGTGCACTGTATTCCTTAACACATATTTGTTAAGCCTAAGATAAACATATATGTGTGAGACTGATTCTCCACTGCGGCTTCCACCCCTGCCAGTGGCATCAGCCTGCGCAGATGGATGCCAGGTGCTTTTACCATCCTTTCCACAGGAAGAAAAGAATTACTGCTATAAATGATTATTCCTGGATAACTTGTTTCCTAGATGTAGGTTTAAAGGAAAGAGAACCTACTGTTTGAATTCCAGCATAAAGAGTTTGCAGCTGCCTCCTAGCAAACTGAAGGCTAAATGTACTGTCTTTGCCTACAGAGTATTTTCAACACAGACCTAGCAAGCCAAAGAGTCAGTGGCTAAGGAAGAAGAAACTGGTTAGCATCTCTTCAGCTCTTTGTTTGCCCTCTGATTCTTGTACTGAACACTTGCTGAGAGGATTTAGTCTCCTAGACTCTGGAACAAAACCTGCAAGGAGGGTATACACCAGAGGACAACAATGTAAAGAAAAACACAACAACAGACCAAACAAAAACCCTCCATACTCTGATGTTATTCCAGTCACATCTAACAAGGTGTGTCTCTATTAGACAACGTTCTTCTAAAAATATACCACATTTAAGCAGTACATCACCCTACACTGAACACAACTATATTACTGCAACATTTATTTCCACTAATATAAGTTTTACCTGTGATGAAGAAGAAAAAGAAATACAAGTGCAAAAGTACATAGTTGTATCAATGCTACAGGCTGAACCAGGATATCAGTAACCTAATATTTATATAAAGACAATAATTCTTCATGGCCCAAACTAGTAATCATAGGACCACAGCATACAGTTTGCTTCTTGTATTTGGAGCTATGTGAATCATCTGTAAAAAGGCTTAAGGATTTAGGGTAGTCCGCTGCTCCAATTGTTTGGGACCCACTCTCCTTGGCAAGCTACTGCATTTTGGCACTTACAGTGCCAAACCTGCTGTAAACAAATCTGTATGTGTTCTGTAGTAAAAATACTGCTAATTATTTGAACACAGAACTTAATGTTTTGACAACTGAAGTAAAAAGTATTTCTGTGTAAAAGAAGTGGTTTATAAAGAATGTGAGATAGTTCTGGTTCTCAAGGCCTTGCCAACGTGACAGACAAAATGCAGATCTTTTGTCTAGCTCAGCACACCTGCTGATGATAGCTGTTTGTCCACCTATACTCACAGTGGGATGCACTTCCTACAGGCTGCAGGCCGAATCAAGGGCACAGCATGAGTACATTTTATTCTGTTTGGAACTCTAATATCCTTTATAAGGATTCATAAGTCCTGCCAGTGCTAGACCAGAGGGCCTGTCTTGCCTATCTTTGCTGCTGGCAGGGTACTGCAGGAGGGAGTGGCAGTCCTGCAAGCTGCACAGTTGTAGCTAGGCTATTTGAGGATGTGATTTTAATTGAAAATGCAGTTCCATATTCCACAGGAGGATCCCTGTTGTCTTACCAGGCATAATGGTCTTCTGGCAGTGGAAACACTTTGATGAATACTCATTGGAGTAGCATTCAGTACAGAGCAAGAGCTCATCCTTGGCAGCAAATGGTTTCTCTACCAGAGAGCGGCTGCATTTGGTGCACTTGAAGCACCTCTCATGCCAGTGGCGGCCTTTGTAAGCCAGATCCTTGGAGAAAGTAAGTGCATGTTAGTAAAGGCATTTCTTTACAGTGTTCTTTTCCCTCCTCTCCTCCCAGAGAAAAATGCAGAGCACTGCAATGGCAACTTGAAGAGTTGCATCCAGCAGGTGTGCTCAAAGGCAGTGTGTCAGGGTATTTTGCAACTCTTGCTAGGCCATTAGGAATTGCTTTGGCACAGGCAATTGAGGCAATTGTCCCTCAGCATGCAACATCAGAGGGATGTTTATATTGGAAGACCCAGCATCTATTTTTACTGTTGGCCTTCAAGGAGAAGCAGGTAATTAACATTTTAAATGTGCAGAGGCCTCCTGACAAGAAGCATATTCTCTACGGACTTTTAAGTAGAACTTCATGTATTTTTTAACATTACTACTTCTCCTTCCAGCTGACTCTACATAACACTAAAGAAAGATCATATTATTGAAGAGAACAAGCAATTAAAATCTCATTAATTGAGAACAAAATGGTTCTTGGGACGTGTATTAAAAAATCATTGCTTTTGTTTACACCTAATATAACTCCCTCTAAAAGAACTGGCAGAAATATATTTGTTTAAGACTCAGCAGGCTTAAGAGATGAAACAGCTAGCAGTATACGTATGAGGCCTCCACTAATAATTAAACAACAATAAAAAAAAAGAAAGCATCAATTTTTTTTTCCCAAGGTTAGAAAATACAAGGGAAAAATGTATCACTAGAAAAATAATAATCCTTAAAAAATTAACCAGGCCTTTCCAGATATTCTTTATAGGTAAGAAGCACCAAAAGGCACAAAGCCAAACTCATTTTTCTAGTTTGTCAGTTCCCCACCACTTAAAATGCTAACATGAGAAATGAAATACATACCAGGGTTCATTTGGGCATTGCTGAGTGTTGAGAACTTTCATTTCCTTTAGTTAGCACTCTGAACCTTTTAGAAAATGGTCTCTCACACAAAAGCCAAGAAATGGGTAAGAAGGAGAGGAAGAGAGCCAAGCTCTAGCAGCTTCACAGAGGTTGGACAACCTGCTGTAGACCTCTGTGGGTCACTTCTTTAGCTGTGACACTCCTGTCTTATTATCCCTGCTTTTTTGTCTCTATTTTTCCTTCCACTCTGTCTGAAGATAAGATTTTTTTAGTGACCTTTTATATTGTTAGTCCTGCCACTTAGAAAGTTTAAATCGTAAAAGTGGGGTTAGTGAGCTCAGAGTAAGTGTTCTCCAGGAGATAGTGACTGGAGCATACAAGTTTGCAACTGAAAAACACTGGTAAGCATTTGAGAACAGTTAGCATCCATATCAGTGTTTTTCTTTGACTACTCCTTCATGGAACTGAGCTGTGCTCATACAATATACTTTGAAAACCAAAATTATATTGGCTGGAGAGATCTCCCGAGAGATTTACTTTAATAACTTTATGATCTAGCACTCACTGTGGCACCAAGGGACATGGTCTAGTGGTGGGATTCAGTAGGCTCTTTTATTTCAAAAGAACATAAGCAAAATGAGCATGGGAGAAGGTGATCAGTACAAACTGAACTCAGAAAAACAAGAGGTTTTTGACAGCTTTCATCTTCTTTTAAAATTGTAAGTGTAAAGGGCTGTAAATTGAGCTAAAGGGTGTTGGAAAACCAGTCAAAGACCACAGAGGAATTCATGTTATTATTACTTATTCTTAAAAAGAGTAGAAGAAAATGGATAGCCAAGCCCAGAAACACTGCCGGTCACATTTCATCTGAGAGACAAACAAGGTGAGCATGAAAGTAAGTTTAAATGAAAATATACCCAATTTCCAAAAGTAGTACAAAAAATATGAATTATAAATCATCTTGATGTCTGTATGTCAGCATTTGCAGTCGAAGTAATTTGCAGAATAGCTGAAGACAATTTTTCCAATGGCTATATCTCAGAAATTCCAAAAGTTCCCTCATCCAAATACACTGAACTATATCAGCACCCCAAATTCCCTCAAGCACTGGTCAGCTTCTGCTGCTGACGAACTAGCGAAGGTGAGGGATGGAATCCAGATATGGTCCATGCATGTAACACATAGAAGATACTTGAGGTGCATGTACAAGCAGATCTTCTCATCTGGATTTCCCAGTTCTGGAAAAATAGCTCTGCTGTACAGATGCACAACCACTATGCTCAGGTTCCTTCACCAGCTCAGGACTACACAGAAGTCTGATATGGAATCAATCATTAAAGAAATGGGGATAACTTAACAAAGAACAAGAAAGTTAAATCCTTACCTTGGAATCGCATTCAATAGGTTGCTTGCACTCCTCACAGGGGTTGGCAAATAGGCTGTCATAGCATCTAACACAATAAGCATTTTCTTCCCTTAATGCATATTTCCTTCCACGGAGAGACTGCAGGCAGTAATGGCACTCTGAGTGATTGCTGGTCATTCTGGTGGAGTTCTCCAGGTGGTTTGGAAAGATGGAAAAATCATGTAATTGAATGGATAACAGTTTTCTTGCCCAGATAATAAGAAATTGTGCATTACCTATGAAAGTTAGGATGGGTGTTTTTTAGTCCTTTGCTCTGGATTTCTAGTGCTGAGTTGTTCCATAATAAAACAGTGGTCTTTAATGATTTGTAATGATGTACTGTGTCACCTAAATAATGCAGAGCAAGAAAGTTGCTTTGGCTTAACTTGAATGTTATTTACGTTGACAGGACAGGTACCTGAAAAAGAACGTGCCTTCACAGTTGTTCTGTATATGCAACTACTGCCTTTATAAGCACTAAGTACTGGATTGTGAAGTACAGTGTATCCAGAAATTAGGGAATGGAAGGATAAATAAGATAAATCATTTTTAAGTAAGTTCAAAAATTAATCCAACTCTGGGGCTAAAAGGCCATATAGAAGAGGCAAGCTCGTTGTGGTGTTTTCTGGGCTCTTCTTTGCCTTTCTTTTCGTTCTGTTCATCCCTTTATTTTGAAAACAGCCACATCTCTACAAGCAGAAGGAAGACAGTGAACTCCAAGCTTCACAGATTTTTTTTTGTGTGTGTGATCCAGCTGTCCTGCTAACATTTTTTGGCAATGTATGTAGAGCAGTATAAACACCCCCAGGTAACAAAGAGCAAAATATAAATAAACAAACTAAAATCCAAATAAAATTGTAACTTCAAGAAAATTCCTCTTGTTTGTTTTGGAAAAGATTATTTTTTCTTACATGTTTATGTATTGCCAGGTTCACAGTTGGAAGAGCCAAAATACTGTGAGATAGATAATATTTCTGTGCCAGATAAGTGAAGGAAATATCACAGATCTACTGAGAGCCAATTGTATGAGTTTCTCATCCTTCATTTTTCCAGGCTAAAGAGGCTTGGATAAGCATCCTAACTTCAGCAGCTTATAGATCTGCAGTGTTGACTGTTTTGAGGATTGTAGAGATGAAGACTTACTTATTTCAGTTATTTTGTTGCTGGTTGGATCATCAGCACTTTGCTAAAATTGGCTCTAGATTCCTGGGAATGAAGGAAGAAGAAACCAGAAAGTTCTCAGTGAAGCAAACCCAGAAACATCTGCCAGACTCACTGGATTACAATTTTCATTAAAGTCATCAGCAAGTGTCACTGCAATCAGAGCAATCAGCCAGCAATCATAAATTTTCAAGGACCTGAGAACAACTGGGGAAGGTTTCCTAACACATCAGTGACTTCGGGCAGCGGAAGTCTTTGCACACTGAATAATGGTGCAAGTTTATCTTAACCAGCTGCAAAGGAAGAGAAGCATATTAACTAAAACCAGGAGCACTTAGCACCACAGAGCTTATTTCTAGTCCATTTAGGGTAAGTTGCTCATTGGTTTTATACATTCACTGGATGTTTTATACCCATGGTTCAGCTTTGAAAAAGCATTTAACTTCTACATTTCTGCTTAGCTGTTTTCCAAAATGATAATTTGAACCATGAGGCATTCAGTTACTGGAGGTCTCTACTGGTACTAATGCGCAAGTCAAGGAATTTATTAACCTATTTCTGGAGGGGCTGCAGTAAAACTATGAATAAGTGTCAGGGAGGAAAGCTATAATGCAAAAGTAATGACTTGTTCATTTGGCACAAGCTATGAAAAACTTGTTGTTCCTGTAAGCTGAAAATCTTTGGAGCTGAATTGATTTATTGTTTTTTTGACTGCCCTAAATCTTAGAGCTAACCTAGACACGGTACGGTAAGGAAGTCAAATTATCTGCAACTCAAATCTGTGCTTGCTTAGATATGTGCTTGCTTAAAAATATTACAGATAGATTTTCTGTGATATCCTTGGGATGATAGTATAAGAGAACTTGGATATGGAGTCCCATTTCCTTAAGATCAAACAGAGCTTTGAGTGTGCAAAGAATTAACCAACTTATAAGAGAAAACAACATGCATCAGCTCAACTATAAAAACCAGGCACTATATAGTAATTCAGTGCATGATCACTTAGCTGTCACTAGAATCATGGTTACGTTTTGCTCATTTCTATATTGGAGAATTCTTCTAAATTGGTGTTTACAGAGGCAGTATAGAAGAAATGCCTGTGGCTAGCTGGGCTCTGTGTTGAAAGTTGAAGGACAGGCTTGAAAGTGGATTTCAGAATAACTTTAACTCCTTTTTCTTATGGGAATTAATGTTGTGATCTGCCCCTGAGGATTACCCTCACTATGCTACCTTTCCACCTTCCTCTCTGCTGAATCAGTACCTCAGCTTCCTAACAGAGTTCCATCTCAGCCTAGAAGTGATAACAGCAAAATCCTAACAGAGCATGTATAAAGAACTTATCTGTTGCTTACAGTCTTCTGTTTTTTTTCCACACAAAGCTTATCAACAAGTAATTTCATATATTTACAGATACATCTCTGTTTTTTCATTCTGATGAATGGCAATAGGATTTCACATTATTAAAAAGTATGCAAGCCGAACAATTTTGTTCAAAAAGTTGTTCTCTTGATTTTTTTTCCCCAGGCCAATCTATTCCAGGAAGCGTAGATTATGTGCTTGTACAAGATAGGGTTTTCTAATACCTAAGCATTTCTGAATCTGTAATGTAGCTGTCCTCCATAAAGCCTATACGGATATGGGAACAAAGTCCTAATAATGTTGCTTTATGTATCATAGTGGTTACCAGAGAACGTTAAAAGAGTATCCCCAAGACCATAACCAAGAACTGAGGTATGATCAGGCTGCTCCTCTGGTAAAGCACTCAAGTCCAGAAAAGATTTCTTCAGAAAAATTCTTCAGAGTTTGACCATGATGAAATAGGACCATGTTTGGATATGAAGCAGAGGTGGTATGAGAAAGAGTGATTATTTTTGCAAATCCTTTGGCAAAGTTCTGGGTAATCTCTGCTCGCTACTTTTACCCTTGGACAATGAAAAAAAAAAATCTCATCTCCCCCAGCTTCTCTTATCCTTGCTCCAATAAATAAATAATGTTACAAGCACCACGTAGTTAAGTAGAATGTTTTTCTTGTGCTTTGATCCTAATCTCTAGAGAAATATGTTTACTTTAAGTTTGCTGGAAGCTAGACTTCTTGTTTTGAAGGTCAGCTAAGAAATCTCTGGAGGTCTGGTGCTATTCACTCTCATGGAATGAAAAGCTGACTCCAGCATTCCAGCAGCCCTCTCGTGTCCCAAGCACAGAGAAGGACTGTGATTTCTTCATTCCTTGGGAAAAGATGATTTTGTTATCTAGATTGGAGCAAAGCTAAAGTACAGCTGATTCTTATATAGACAGTTGGCACAGATACGTGATATCAGTTCAACATACTGTTGGGAACCTGCTGTAGCAGGGGAGTTGGACTAGATGGTGTCCAGAGGCCCCTTCCAACCCTTACTGTTCTGTGATTCTGTGATTTGTAGCATTAGGGTAGTCCTAGAGACATAGAGGATGTTGCCAGTGATGTAAAGATCTTGCAGCTGATGTCCCTGGGGTCAGATCTGAGAATGCAGCAGTCTGATGATATAAATTATAGAGCAGATGAAAATAAAACAACAGAGCTGGCTTGTCTGCCCACTGTTACAACAGATGAAGACAGAATTTAGCTACAGAAAATTAGGAGAGGAACTTTCTGTAGACTCAGATTGTTTTCTATAAGATAAGGGATACTGTAAGTCTTCTAGCAAAGAAAACCATATTAAAATTGTTTCCAAGTCCATGAAAACCAGTTAAATGTAGGATCATTATGAAAGGAATAATGGTTTTCTCGTTGAAGCTAAAAACCACAGCCATAATGCTAATATATGTCTTAATAATTTATCTTAATATTCTCCATAAATACATATTAATACACTTTAGATTATTGAAGCAAACAAACAAAAAGAACAGAAATGTTGATCATACACTTTTGTACATCTATTCATACATATGAAGATATTTTTTGAGGAAATCCTATTTCCTGATCTAAATAAGCCTGCTGTTCAGCTGCATAATTTTTTCCTTAAGAGAATACAAGGGCTATGAGACAGTCATAAAGAAGGAAAAATGATGGCAAAATAAATCACTGTCACAACACTGAAGGATAAGAAAAACAAATCAATCCCTTATGAGGGTTACACCCTGAGTTGCAAGTCAACTCAGGCACTGTTTTATTTTCAGCTAAGTACATATTTTCATCTTGAAACATGTTTTTGCTTATTAGCATGTATTTTCTGATTTCATTTTCCTCTTTTTTTTTTTTTTTTGAAAGCTGCTGTATAATTCATCACATACATTTGCAAAACATATTAGTGACTCAAGGCTACAACTACATTATAAAGCCAACAACATCATTATAAGGAAAAGTTTCTAACAAGACCATTATTTTATAAATGAAAGTTTCTAACAGCATTCTCCCAGACCTATTAAAAGTCCCGATCCCTCAAAAAACAATAAAGTAAAGAAAAAATACCCCAAAATCCATAACCAACCTACCCTCTCTAAAGAACAAATAAATGGATGCTGTATGTCCAAAGCTTCAGCAATACCCTATCTTTCTCTCCTCAAGAGTATCTGTAATTTTCACAGTTTGTCCCAGAAGTTATGCTGGAGTGTTTAGCATGCCAGAATATTTGCTCTTCTAAAAATGGGTATAGAAGCAATAGAAACCAGGGGCATACAGCATAAATCATGTCAAAACATGTAGGTACAAGAAAGCAGAGGCACCGGCATTAGCTATGCACGCTGTTTTGTCGCTGTGGCACAGAGTGACATAGGCAGAGCAATCACTGATGAAGTTCTGCTGCCAGTGGCCAAGACAGGCATGCTGACCAGGGCTGTGCTGTAGCAGTGTGAGCACAGTGCTTCATGGGCCACTAGTGACACCGATTTGGTGGAATATCTCAACCAATCAGCCTATTGAGAGCCTATCTAGTAGCAACACCACACTGCATTATACTGTGCTTATGCGCCTTATGACCACGAGTGATAAGGGCAAAAGTTCTGTCTTTAGTGAGGGACTGAGCATCACAAGTATCCTCCAATTTTCTCCTTAATTGGTATCACTGTCTGCTTTGTTTACACCATACAAACTCAAACACTGGTGTTAGTTATATAAATTTGTCCTTTATCCCACTGTAACACAATTTACAACTTTCTCAAACTTCAAACAAGCAGACTAGAGCAGTGGAAATGCTTGGACTATGGGTGTGCCATTGCACAGACATACAGAAATTTTGTTGCAGAAGAGACATGACTAGCTTGTGTCTCTCAGGCTCTCCT